ACCAGAAAGAAAACAGCGTAGCCGACACTGATTACATTAACAAACACCTACTTATCTATTAGGCACTAAACAATATTTGAAACTGAAACGGTTTACACACCGCTATTCATATTAGCTCGCAAAGAACAAACCTTTTTATTTGACAGAGCTACCGACGGCACTCTGGCAGCTGTCGATAAATTGTTGTCTTTTTTACCGGCGTATGATGTTCTGATTTTATACTTGCGGCTTCATTAATATACAGAATGGGTGATTACTAATTTCTGATGAATTAGTAAATATGCCCAATGAACTTCAAGAATATTGCAAAAAGTGGACATATTTTTAATGAAGTGACGAATTCGAACTACGTGAAATTGCAACGTTTGACGCAGAATCCGCTAAGTTAAAAAAAAATAAAAAAATCGGTGAGCTCTTTTCCACATTCGCTCAAACGCCGGTGAGCTTTTCTCTGTATCTGCCAGTTTTTCGGTGAGCTTTTCTCCGGTGAGCTTATCTCCGGTGAGTTTTTCTCCGGTGAGCTTTTCTCCGGTGAGCTTTTCTCCGCCGCCCGTCTTCGACAGCGCACTTAGATTACGTTATTTCAAAACTTGCTTGTATAATTAGTTTGATACATCGACACCGTCTAATTCTTCCATCAAGTGTTAAACTACTTCTGTATAACACACTATTTGTATCTCATTTGAACTATTGTCATTTGGTATGGGGTACCACTACTAAAACAAATTTACATAGAATATTCATACGGCAAAAGAGAGCGTTAAGACTCGTGTGTGACGTCCTTATCTTTTTCACACGGACCAAATTTTTAAAAACTCGGGGTACTTAAAATACATCAACAATATGAATACAGGCTTATCATGAAGTCTAAACAAGAATATTCTGTGAGAGATAGCTTCCTGCTAAGCTTGGCATCCCTTAGGAAAAGACAGCTTACACATTCTACTCGCCACTCAGGTTTCTGGATGGTTGATACATCGCGTACAGATTACGGTCTTCAGATGATTAGAATTACACTTCCAACGTTACTAAACACTTTCCTGAATTCGAATGTTGATATGTTATCTTCTAGCCCGCGTGAGTTACGTGACTATCTACTTTTTATATAAATATGTTGTTTATCAGTTGTCTAATCTTAATGCGATTTTTTTTTTTTTTTGTAGTTGACGGTTTGTTAGTTATCTTCTTTTTGTTTTACCATAACAGCGTTTTGTGGTTGTTTCTGTTTATTTTGCTGTTGCTTTTTTTTTTTTTTCTTGCTTGTATGTAACTTGGCCCCGCTGTGTACCTGTTGAGGGGGCTGGAGACCCATCAAGCTGCATTGTCAGCTTTTTTCTCCAGCTCCCACCATATGCGATATGGTGAATAAAGTTATTATTATTGAACTGTCGACGACTTTGCACGTCGAAAAAGCTTTTTTCTTTTCCCGTCCAAAATTCATTCCTTTTTTTTTTTTTTTTTTTTTAATGAAATCGTCCGTTGTATGTTTACTTAATCGGTATTTGAGTCTAATAATCCATCTTGTGGGCTTATCTCATGCACTTGAACGTGCGCTTAAGCCTTCTGTCACGCCCCACGCATGCTCGAAGCCTATGTTCGCTTCACACGTGCTTCAAATATCTAACTTTTTTTTTTTTTTTTTTGCTGTTTATGGGCGTTGTTGTTTTATATAGAAAAATGTCGGGAAAACCGTCGTCAGATACAATCTTTGCTTCCCTCCCCTGACAAGGAAAAAAAATCTTTATCGAAGAATGTTTGTTTCGGAAACGGTGCGCACACTGTGACGTGACGTCCGGAAGCACCGACTGCGCATGCGGATCGCATGATCGCCAAACAGGTTCGTGCGCTCGCGTAGCGTTCAGTGAGAAAACGCGCCCGTTTCCGAACAATGAGCCTCGAAAACGGACGAAGACGACACAATGACCCCGTGAATCTATACATTACGCCCGGTTGGAAAAATTCTCTCTCGGGCGTCCAACGCGTATATCCTTGGAGAAACCCGATGGAATAGAAGCTCAAAATTGAATTTCCGCCTGGCTGTCAATTAGCTGCGCGCGAACACGAAATCTGCACGTCCGTGACGTCATCACACAATACTGGCAGTCGTTGCTACTTATTCTCGCCAGCAAAAGTTGGGGTACGAAATGCATGCTCCAGAAGGATACATGCGCACTCGGCTGGAAGGTCACCACAATGGCGGCCACTGCGATCCATGGCGCAGCCATTTTGAAAACGTCGCATTGACGTCATCGTGGCTACTGCCGTTCCTCGTATAGATCCACGGAGTGACTTGACGCGGTGGCGGGTACTACACGGGGTAGCGTTCATGTGCGGCATTCTTCACTCGCGGTCTATCCGACTTTAACGGCCCCTGCTGGTCAAAGCGAGCAACCGTTCGAGCGAGTTCGTGAAAAAGCCGCGCAAGTCGTCAACAGGCGTATCTCCTGGCAGCAACAAGCGCGAAAGTTGTACCACAAGAACGTAATAGTTTCCCAGATCGTGCCAGCTGGGACACCACGCAGTGTCCGTTTGCCAATGGCCTTTCTCGGGTTGCTACAGCTGCCCATTTCACGCTTGTCCTTGCTCCCGCGCTTACGGAACAGCGAGGGGCACGCGGGCGTCGCAACTCGCTATATACATAAAATGTACGAACGAAACGGCGGAGCCGGCCAGCACGAGCCGTCCCATTGTGTTCTGCCGGGGACGGCAATTTGAAGCGTTCAAGGCTGTGTGTCTCAACCGTCCGGCTCGTTAACTTTCCCGCCATTGTACGATGGAGGAAAATCGGAAGGAGGGCATCACTCCAATAGCGCTGACCTTCGATTTCGGCATACGTATAGAATAGAATAGTTTTATTAGTGAGATACAGGTTTTCCAAGAATTAAGCCCGAAGGGCACCTGCGCTCGGCGGGCGTCGAAACATCGTGGCGCAATCAAATTTTGTTTCGAGTGCATGCGATATCGCGGGTGAGATTAAACCTTTCTCCAGTAAGCTACTGCCCAAACGTGCACCCCCTCCCATGGCCTTGCTTCCCGCTGTCGCCATTTTTGCGGGGCAAAGTTCCGGCCGACCAACAGATTCAGCACCGATCTTTGCGCGCGCCTTCTTTGGCCATTCATGTTTGGGTACAATGCATTCTGAAGGCCAATGCATTCTGACGGGCAAGTTGGACTGCCCTGCATTTGTAGAACCGTCTCTCGTTATTGGAGAAAGTTCCAATGGGCCTTTGTTCATACTGCGCCCTATTTGACAAATTGAGAGATAATAGAGCTAAACAGATTCCCGTTTCTAAATCGTTTCATTAGTGTGGTTACAGACTAACTGGATAATAAATTCTACGGAGAGAATGGTAAAGTTCTTCTAACTTAATGATTAGACGTTTTAGAGGCAAACGTAATGTAATTTCAATTTCTCTCGGTCATTCTTAACATTGGGATAACGCGAGGTATAATTGAACTGCGGTGAAAACCTGTCGGTCACGCAAAATGGCAACAAATGAGCACGAACCTTCTAGTGATACAATTGAAGGATGTACTCCCGCAGACAGTATGAGCTGAAACACCCGGCCTCTTTCTCTACCTGTATGCTTTACTTCCTCTAAAGCCAATGTAAAGAGTAACATAATTTTTGAGTGTGGTTAACATTCGTACGATTCATCGTTGTGACTATTCACTGTTCCGAAATCAATTGTGTAAATTTTTCGTTATTGTGGATTTTCGCTTTACCTGGGTCATTGATTTTGTATACAATCGCGACACCCGTGTCGTGATTAGGTTATCCTATATTTGTAAACTCGCCCCAGCCATGGAGTCACGAGAGAATCCGTTTTTTAGATCTAAAAGGTGTAACTTTGCCGTGCCAGCTGTCTTCTGATTGTGAGCACGTGGCAATTACGTAAGATTTGTTCCGCAAAGCACTCCACTCTCCCCTTCAGCAGAGCGAACTTTAGAGAGGAGTCGAGGATGGACTCGAGCGCCTCCTTCCCAGCGTTTGCTCTGCCAAAGTGGAACGTGTGAGGCGTTTTACGGGAACGGCGGGGGTTAGAGTTTGCTTTTGAAATGTCACACTCGAAGATAAACTGCACTGAAAAAGATCCTCAACTCACGGTTTGAAAATACTTTGGTAGTGGGTCAGCTTGAACAATACAGGAACAGACGTCGACGGAACAATGCAAAATAGCTGTTCTGTCTTGTCCAGTGCTTTCTACGTCTGGTTCTGAAAGTTCAAGCTGACCCATCGCCAGTATGTATCAACTAGCTCAATGAAAGCTTGTAAAGAAGTACTTTAACTAGATTCTTAGTTTGTACCATTTATGCAGTTGTCATAACTCACAACAAAATGAGCAGCTATGTAGGGAAAACATTCGGACCAGAAAAAAAATAATATAATGAAAATAATAAGATGATTATTGAAACGAAGGTATCGATTTCGAGATTAAGAGGAAAAGGAATCGTTCGTCTCTTTCCAACAGTTTGCGTCACGCTTTACGAATTGCCTACTGGTCGTTATTGCGACAACAAAGTGGACGAGAAAATGCGCGGCTCCAACGTCGCTGAATAAACAGTCGGAATTGACGGCTCATCGATTTCGGTTGCCTGCGCCACCTCAGAAGCAGACCGATTCTCCGTGCGCGGAACACACGGCACACACACATAGTGCGCCTAGGTCACGGAGTGCTTCCAAGGCTCGATCAGGGTCACATGGTTTACGGGCTACAAGGAGGAGACTAAGCGTTGGTCCCTCTTCACGCAACAACGCATCGCATCTGTTGTCGCGTGAAGGCGTTGTCGCGTGTCCCGTCGGCGTGAACTGCCGGCCAGTCCACCATTAAATTGCAAATCCTCTCCACATACCGTTTTAGTTGCTCTCTCTCTCTCTCTCTCTCTGAAATCTAGGCTCTCTACGCACGCACGCAAAAAGCGAACGTAGCGCTTCCCACTTTCCCGCGGCGAAAGCCGGAACTAGACGATTTTCTTAGTTTCGTTTTCGGCTCTGCAACAACCAAGGTCGGTCCCCGCGCGAAGTCCCTCAGTCTCTACGTTGGCTTGCTTCATACTTCTTTTCCGCCTCGTTCTGGATCACGGGAATGCGATTTAGATTCGAGGGAGAACGGAAGAAGAAGAAAGCGTTACGCGGTGAGAACGAGAGCGAAAAAAAAAAAAAAAAAGCCATTTTGTTTGCCGAGCGCCCGTGTGTGCGCGCGCTCCGGCGTCGTCTGCTCCGTTCGGTGAGCGCGAGCAGACGGCTCGGTGGGACCGTTGTCTGCTGTCGCCTGCTTTCTCTGCGAGGTGGTTTTCCAGCAAATACAGGTGAGATTTTGTGATTCATCTTGCTTAGATCGCTTTTTTTTTTTTTTTTTTTTTTTTTTTTTTCCCTAAAAACAACGTTATGTAGTATCTTCATCATTTGTGAAAACTTTCGCGCTAGTTCATTTAAACTTAAAAGTGTTGCTCGGATTCTATTGAACGAGTTTATTGTTGACACTGACGGTAAGTTCTTTGTTCTTGCGCATTTTATGTTTCGTGTTTGTCCCGTGTCAACACGGCAGGGGTTTCTTTGTTGTATCGTAATTATCTCGGAGTATAACACATAATATAAGCTTCCGGTGCTACGAACTCATTGAAGGGACAAAAGGGCTAAAGAAGGGCTCGTTGGAACCTTTGTTCGTGGTTGCTGGTTGTCTTTGTTTGCTTATTCGTGAGCTGCTTTGTTCCGAGACGAATGTCTGAACTTGAGCGTTACTCATGTGTTTGACTTTTCAGGCGTGTTTGGGCGATCAGAACAGCAATTATTTCGAGTCAATCTGCTTTTGGATAACTAAACACAGTGCTTCAAAAGTTTGTCCTGGTTTTTTATATATATATATATATTGGCTCTGTTACATCTGGGTGTTGGGTTGCTATACTATAAACTGGAGGTGGTAGGGAGCTTTAAAGCAGCACGTGATAAAGAGTGGTTAGAAGAGCAATTATACTCTCCGATCTAGCACTCCAATAACCAACAAGAATTGGTTCGATGCATACTTGTGATTTCGGCGAAGTGTGCGACCAACCATGCAGAGTATGTGTACATCTGAACGCATTAAATGTGTTTCGGCGGTTGCTGGGAGACAAATATCAGCTCACAATTATTTAACTGGTCCCTGGATTATTTATTTAACTCTGCAAAATGTGAAATGAGGCTGCAGCCTTCGCATTGCCTCGTCTACGTGTGATATCTTGCGTGTCACTGAAATGAGAGTTCATGCACAGGAGAGGTGGTGCACAGTCATGCCGAGAAAACCCCGAGACAGGGGAAAACGAAGACAGGTCAAACAACCAAGTCTTTTAGGCTGTGTATGTCCTCGCCTCGTTTTTTCCCCTCGTCTCGCGGTTTTTTGTGAACCGGATCCTATTAGAATATTTGCCGATATGCCAGGGAAAGTTTAAAAACGTAAACTAGATAATAATGATTTGTTGGTTACATCGCTGTGGGCCTGTCCAATTTCTGTTGTCTTCAAACGGATCCCGAATGAAATTTTGAATTCGCAGTTCAGAACAGATATTTCTGGATGGTATTATCTTAGAGTTGATACAGCTACGCGGACGAGAGGGATCTGACAGCGTCAGAAAGCAGCGAGACAGGCCAAGAGGTATAATACCGGTGGCTTCGCACATAGCAATGAAAATCGGGAGGAAGTTTCCGAGGCCACATAGCCTAAATGTGTCGAAGCAGTGAAGCGCAACTCTGTTACAATTCTGTCGAACTCGCAGCTTGGGCTTCGGGCGAACAGCTTTGGCGTGCGTGCACTTCGATCGCGCGTAGCGTCAGGAAGACGATTTGTCCTCACTGAAAAGTCACTAGCCACTATCTTCGTAGTTAATATTCGACAAAAGAGGGACACTAAAATTTTTTGTTGATTGCTTTTTTCCTTGTAAAAACCCCATTTGCGACACACACACACACACACACACAAAATAAACGCCTCCTGTTGGCATTTTGGAAATTGAAACACCATAGCTTCCTGAGCTTTCTTGCATCGCAAAGCACGTTCCTTATAACGTGTTGAAACTGCCTTTAATGTTATTTTTTAGAAAATCGAAGCAACGCGGTTCTTAAGGTTTGCCGTAGCTCGGGTTATTTTGAGCCTGGCATTGATTGTTCACCCACCCGAATATTCTTGCTCCAGTCGGCCAAGTCGATACTTCGGCAGTGGCGTGCTCCACCTGCGAGCATGTTTCCTAGTAGCTTTTCATGCTCCTTCTTCTCGTACGGTGTCGTCAGGCTAACAAAATAAAAGGCTCGCATCATAATCTAGAGGCACGGACTTCGTTTAGTAATGGCCGTCCAGCAAAAACGCCTCTCGTTTCGAAAGCAGTGTCGTCTCACCGAGTTTTGCTTGTCCCGCACGTGTGCTTCCTCTCCACGAATTGAAGGAATCGATCGAGCTCATTTTTGAAATTAACCGAAGACGAGTTCCCGAGACAATAGGAACGCAGTCGCGTAAAGGTGAAGAGGTTGAACAAACTGGATGTAGCACCAAACAACAAGAAACCAAGACACGGAAGCTTCACTTTCATAATTGAAACCCGAGACAAATTTGGGAAAGAGACGATGAGACATGTGTCCCTCTTTCTATACAATCTTCTTGCTCCCTTTGTTTCGGGTTTCTTCAGCTAGGAATGCGTCGTAGCAGCTTGCCAGCACACTTTAGTCTGGTGCAGACATTTGCGCCTAGCGGTGACCGACTGCATTATGACCCGTTGCGTTCCAGTAAGAGGCACTGCGCGGACCTCTTCATAGAGGCGTCGGAAGCAGTTACCAGCGGTCGTCGTGCAGGTCCGTTCGTACACTCTCGTTTGCTTGAGACCGAGTTCTTGCGATCGACCAGAGAACATGCTGGCACGCTCACGCCATCTGTGAGGTGACCTTGAAACTGCAGTTCACTAGAGTCAAGGTTTCGCACTATTTGCGAGATCGAATGGCCGTACTATAACGAGAAATACTGTAAAACCCTTTATTTTCGGGGCCCCTATTTTTCGCGAATCGGTCACAGAGGACATATCGCGGCCACTAAAGTTCGCGAATTCCAGAGATTTGCATTGAAATTCTTGAAGACCAAAATTTTCGCGTGCCTTTAAGTTTCGCGAATTTTTCAATTCGCGATATTCGCGAATATTAAGGGCTCGCGAACATTAAGGGTTTTACAGTAGTCGTTTATAACGGTGCAAAAATTTCGCGAACCAAAAAAAAAAAATGTACGGAAATGTTAAGTGTTTTATGGCTAGCAAATAGATGGCGCCAGTCTTTGAAGGGACTCTGCAAGGATATTCGCTTGGAAAGTGTTTCACTCTACACTAGTTTACTGGCAGTAGGAGACCTAAGTGCAGTCGCACGCAACGCCATTGACCAAGAAACTCATTTGTTGCGTTGCCCCTTCAAAAACAAAAAAAGAGCGCGTCGTTTTTCTGTCTTTTTCTCTCTCTCTCAACTTCTTCATCTTGATGACGTAGCTGGGCGGTCGCAGTACCCCCCAGTGACAATATTTGAATGCGGTTCATAAATTGGGCCCAGCATTCCGTGACATTTGATTTCGGCTCATGATAGACCATAGCTCGACAAGCATTCGGGTAGTGGGCCGTGTCCATTCGCTCAATGACGACAATAGCCGAACCATGGTAATGTCTGGAACTGAGCGCGTGTCCTGTGCTCTGCCAACCCGAGCGTGTAGCTGCGGTGAACACTGGCGGCATATAATCGGTTCCAGATCACGTGGCCGCTTGTTCTCGCTGCGAGTTAAGGGGGTGAACTTGGGTGAACGCTGCTCGTTTTTCTTTCATTTTTTTCTGGGACTTCTATTGCGTGGGGTGAAAAACGAACGCGTGTTTCATAGGTCATTAATGTCAGGGATCCGTTCTAAGCGGTATTCGCGCAAAGTACTAAAATGGTCGCATCGCCTTTTAAAACCCTGCAACCGTTTATAAGTATTCTTAAGCTCGCATAATCGGCACTTAAATAGTCTCCATAGAAAATATTCGGAGTAAATAACCAAAATAAAGCGTCCGTGGAACGTGCGTGCGAAGTGCCATTTGTGTTGAAGCTTTGCTTTCGATCAGTTAGAGCTGAAGACGCCAGCACGCGCAGTGCGTGTACCTACGTTCCCGGCATTCTTTTTGAACCTCGGTTAATTCGGCAAAAGGTCAATATAGATGTATAAGAAAATATGGGCTACTTAGAACGCAAGAAGCGAAAAAAGGTCAAGGTGTTTTCTCTTGACGACGTGGTTGCCTTAGATGAGTAGAGAAACGGCACTGCGATCGTGTGGCCAAACTGTCTGCAGACCCTCGGACATACCTGAGGCGCGTTCACAGATGTAATTCATATGTTCTGCGGCGAACATTCGAATCGGGTATGAGCTATGCAATTGCGGCTTTCCCAGTAACTAGTGGCCACGAACAGGTTTCCTCAGTCATCGACACCCTTCGATCCGTGGCACGATGCAGAGACTGCGGCCGAACCCAATCCACAACCCGTGAATCAGGCGCTGTGTCCCAACGACCCGGAACTCGACATTCGCCGATCACCTTCGAGTCTGGCGGCCTTCGCATCCAGCGAGAAGGCCGCGCCCTTAGCAGACCGCCTCGTTGCGTCACTCCCGCAGTCAACGCTCGACTCTCGAGGGCCGAGAAGCTGCCTCGAAGGCCACAAGTGTGTCGTGGTCACTATCGCCTCGCGAATCGCGATATCTCTTCGCGTCGGGTCAGGTTCGACCTCATCGAGGTGAATCCAGCGACCCAGATGTTCCTGTCCCGAGCCGTCAGCTTCCGGTTCTTTTATGCGGCGCTTCCGGTGACCCGTTTACGGCGAACTACTTTGTTATGCGGAACGTGCGCAGCGAGCAATGGGGCCAGTCATTGTTAGCAGGCGACGTCGGTCGGGTGGGACGCCGGCTGATACACGCGAAAACGCAGAGCTGGAACGGGTGTCACAAGATGTCCGACCATGATTGCGCTCGAGCGGGCTGACGCCATTAAGCTGAGACTACGGTGGAACCTACCTTCCCGCTGGACCAATCAGCCGCCTCTCTTTTATCACGTGACCCGGCTCTCTGCGCGTGGGTATGGGCGGGAGCGTGATGACGTGGCCAAAGAGATGCGGATGACTGGTCCAACGAGGGCGTAGTTTCGAGCGCAGTTTCAGCTTAGGGGCGAACGGAGTGTAGTAACATGCCTTCTACCTGCGACACACGATGACGTCGAACAACGGTAACCACTGATGCTGGTGGTTGAGTGGACGGCCGTTCGCAGCGAGAGCAAGGGTAAACTGCGCC